GACTGATCCCTTACTTGATGTTACGAAATAATTCTTCCAGACCCTGTCGATCCGTGAGAATGTTTCTCCTGAGGAGGGATGCTTTGGGCAACTCGTACGAATTACTCACCTATGGAGTCGACATCTGCACAGTTACGCACTTGCTGAATTCCCGCAGTAAGGCGCGAATAACTGCAAAGAACTGTGAACGTTGATTTGTTATCTCATGCTCACTAAAATCAGACGCAGCCATCTGAAACCATGATTCAGCATTATCTGGCCAATATGGACGAACTGAATGGTTCTGGCAGTTGACCGAACACGAATAACCTTAGGACTGTGATCACTCATGACGAAATGCATGCGGTTTACAATACAGTACAAGAACAAATACAAAATGGAACGAACTCACTGGATTCATCTGCGTATTTATCATAGAGGAAGTTCGCGGTTGGGCTGACCAGTTTAGAGTCTGACGGTATCGACGTTCACGGATTGTGCGGAGTATACCAACGCAAAATCTAATGCCAACAACTCTATAGTATTCGGTCCGCGTAGATTAAAGGCAAAGCAAAAGAACACAATTAATCGTCCGAAATACGAGATATATTTTGGGACCAAATCGTAGACCAAGATGAATGCTAAGCTGGCTAGTGATCGTACACAAACCTGACACGACGGAGTACCAGATGGCGTAGATGCTTGACCGGAAGCCTTCAGCTAAACAAGTTTACTTAAACAGTGGTGGTCAGCATCCAATGTTCAGCGATGGTTGCTGTGATCAGCAATCTTGGAGAATTATTTACCGCCACAGTGTTTGTTTGTTTGCAGTAATCTATAATAATGTACATGAATATCTATAAATATCTGTTGATTTTCCAAACAAGCAATCTGTTGCCTGGCCCTTATCTTCTGTCGTTACGATACTATCTTATCTGCTAGTTGTAATGGGTTAGGTCTGAATATGCCATCTCAAGACCTGTGATTGTGTTCAGTTTTTAGAGGAGGTTACCTTACATATATAGACACATGCATGGTCCCCAGTGACCACAGTGGGCTACACCACACTTGTCTGGGCTGAAATTCACCCGCCATTTTTCGCTCCAACCGCCCAGACTGTCTAAGTCATGTTGGATTTTACTTTCAGTGCTCATGTCATCGTACCTACAATCACATACTCTCTCGAGGTCATCTGCAAAGAGCTACGACTCACCATACCTAATCCCCGAGACTAAGCCATTTATGAATGAGTGGAAAAGGGTGAGGCCAATAACGCTACCTTGTTCACAAATCACATCGGCGGTCTAAGTAATACAATCTGATTGTATTATTTTTGTAGTGTCTGTTTTGGAAGTTAACTGTCTTTTGAAAGGTTTTTCGGTGTCTCCCGAATTAAGAGGCGGCTGAATGACCCGAATTTCTTTATTCTTAGGGCTTAAGTTTTATAGCTCTTGCATTTTAGTGATTACAGGCGTAATAGCAATTAGTGAATACAAATCATGACATCTGTAGTGTTTTATTGAGTGCTTCCGTAGAATTCTCATTAAGGACGTTGGAAAATAATGGCTCTGAGGAGATTTGAAGCTAAGGATATTTTCAAATGCAAAGACATCATGAATTGGTTATGTACTGCGATAGAAGTTGCTGAGAACCGTCTCTAAGTACTCGTTCGAATCGTACGAATCCCACTTACACCATCTAACTAGACGTTGATACAAGTTCCAGCCAGCATGGGCATACAATCTTATCGGTGTTCGGGAAGCTTTATCTCTGTGTGTTGTTTCAAAAAAGATATTAAATGAACACACCGCCATTTAATAGTCGCTACCTAGAAATTCATGTCCTACATGTGCATGGTGCTGCGTTGTTTGTGAATATAAGATCTGAGATACCTTCGGATCCAGCGGGTGGATTTATGAGTTGTATCCACTTTCGTGTGACGATGGAATTCAGAAGAATATCATATCTATGGGGCCCTCGAAGTGATAGCTGTGGTACCTCTAGCATGTTAAAATCATCTCCAATAATGTTACAGCTGACGGTAAGTTTGGCTATGATGTTAAAAGTGTTACTGAGTATAATATCATACTTGCCGTTTGATGGTGGGGATCGGTACACACAACCTATAATAATGGGTTGACTTGTGACAGTTTTTACCTCGACTTAGACGCAGCCATTGAGTTGTGACAGAATCGGGTCACTGAAATGTGTTGCACATGTTGATTGTTCAGCGTGGATTAGTTTTCCACCACAACGGCCTGTCCATCTGTCCACTCGAAAAAGGTTGTAGTAATCGATTCTTAGGCTGCCGTTAGTGATCTCACTTATACACTAGGCTTCAGTGATCATGATCAGTGACGGTTTCCATGTGAAAGCTTATGTACCTAGTGTTATACTTTTGTTTAGAATTTATCTAGTATTTACGGGGACAACAGATAAACGATGACTAGGTGGCTTGAGTGGGCGGACAGAATTCAGCAGTCATCCAAAGTCGAGCTCAAATGGTGGAAGTTTACGCTAGGAAAGCCAGTAATCACATGGTAATGACGACAGATAAGGTCAGGTAATATCAGTCGGTGGGCTGCCATAAAGTCCTTCTGTCCGGTGCGATTAGCAGCAGTTTCGTAACTAACCTTAGGCACACCCACCTATCTTTTAATATCGCCCACGTTGAGGCTTAACTAGTTATTTTATGCGTAAATAGCATTCTGTGTTTCGGAGAGTTCTATGGATTGCTTACTGACGTTATAATCAAGACAAGAGTTGAGCAAATTTGGAGATAATAATCAAAGAAATCCAGAGAATACAAATTACAGTAAAATAAACAGCGTACTACGAATGATTTGAACCCATCAATTTGGTGACCACTTCTTGTATAGAATTAACTGCCAAAATTACCGACCAGTAGCGCTTGTAGTGATAGAGGACATGAACGTGTATCCCATGGACATGCTGGTTGGTGAGGCCAAAAAACAAGAAAGGTATTCATCAGTTAATATCGTTCAATACACAAGGAGCATCTCACATTTATTAAAGTATGTATAATTCCTCCTTCGTTATTCTTTGAATCTTTGTGTAGTCTCTAGATGTTAAACACCTTTTAAATGACCACAGCGTTTATTGTATGTTCTATGCTGCAGATACTCCTGAGGTCCTCTTGTGATAGGCAGATACGAAGAGGCTTAGTTAAACACAAGGGAGGTTATTCATTATTCTATAAGGTGTAGTGGCAAAGCAAGATTAAAGGATGCGTGGTTCCTTACAACTGGTTCACCTTAGTCCAACTTCCTTCCTAGATCAGTACGCACCTGTACATATCTTCCATCTGAGAGGGAAAGCCTGATGGGCAAACGTAGTGTTAATAAAATTTTCTGTCCACATTCCAACTATGGGATAAGGTAATGTGAACCTATCTTATATATACCTGTTCTTCACATCTACTCTTATATGCATCGGATACCACGTTGGGTACAGTGCACTGAAGGGGAAACTAGGTAAGCCTTCGTAGGATTTCCACAAATGTAACGTGATCCAACTTATTTGCTGATGGAACTTTAAGTCACAAAATTACTTAAACCAAAAAATTAATGATGAAGAACATTCGGAAAGCTCTGGATGGTACCGAAAATACGGATCCTGGCTGAAGTGCCCTATAACTTGTTAACACAACAGGCACTTACAGCCATAAAGTCATTGGAGTATTATAATGCTACACCTGCGTTAAAACCACAGTACGTGCTGCTAATGTAGATCGAAAAACAACACGAGACGTGAACCATCATCTCTAATCCCTCCACTGATTCTCTTCTTCAGACACCATTGTTTGGAATCATTCTTGACATTTTGAAGGGAATCGCAAGGAAGCAGTTTGAGAATAGGGGATAAAGGATCGCGTACACCAAACAAAATACCATGAGGACACTCGTCAAACATGGTATCGTAATAAGAAGGAGTGGTATAACATTCCTTTCATTTCCAGTGACTATATTTAAAATGTCATTTCCACCTGCGTATACGGATGGCCTTTTGTTTTGGGTAGCTTATTTTATATTTTGAGCACATACTTCCAGCAAGTTAAGAACAACTTATAAATAGGCACTGCAGGAATGAAATTTTCAAGTTACCTACCACACAGTTTTCAAACCGGTAGTAAAGGGTTGCAGAAAGTTCACTTGTGTAATATTTATTCCTAATAGTTTGTTGTCTGCATAGGTCTACTCAGGAGGTAAAACATTCTGCCACAGAAACAGTGAGGAGAGATTAATCCCTACGTTCTCCTTACAGCCTTTAGAATTCAGGCCAGAATGTCAAGTGCTTGATGAGTGGCTTCAGTTCCCGTTTTCGTTTACATGTATATGTGAGATAAGCGCAGCTCCAGAGCAGATCAGGAAAAAGCGGAAATAATTTGAAACCGGCATTCCTTCGACAGAATGGCTTGCGCAATCCCATGTGGAATGCAACTGACTCTATAGTTACACAGATGACAGAAAACAAAGCCTGTGCAAAGTAACTCTGGATAATCTCCTAAGTAGTTGAAAATGATTTGATAAGGAGTTTCTGGAGCTTTATAAGCTGTGGGACTCCAGTATTTTGATAGGTCCAGAGGTCACTGTGGGTAAAACTGGCGGTTTTTAATCTTTTCACAATTCTTAAAATGTGGAGTTCTCTGTCACACGAAGTTGTTACAGTTTACCAGACAAATTAGTTTTGAAAAAATCTAGATACGCAGATGGGACATATCCATCCATTTTCTTACCTGAAAATTTTCAGTCATTTCATTGAGTGCTGTCAGTATTTTAGCAGAGAATGGTAATTTCAAATAAACCCTTTAAACATTTTATGTACAGAAAGGAAAATAATATTGCCTTCTTAGCAAAGGGAGTATACTTTTGTGTCATGAAAGTAGAGCATGTGTAACTTTGATTTATAATGTTTTAATCAAGCACTTAGATGTTGGAGATTGAAGATAGTCCTTGAAGTAGGCGCTTATCTTTTCTGCTCAGTTGAAAACAGCTGAGTCAATGGAATTAGTTTACCATGAACTCTCGGCAGGCAAAGATACGAGCCTGTCACAGGTTTTATCAGCATGGAGTAGACGTTATGAGGAGAAGTATGCTGTCCTACAACAACGCTTTTCCGGACATATTAAAGGAGTTGATTTCCGGAATACAGATACATCTAGGCCTAAGTCAGCGGATTTAACTCAGCCGTCGTATAATGGTAAGTTTCCTTGTTTCACGTATTTCATTGGTTTTCATTCTAACAAATGACATACCTATGATTCTAAAAGTACTCACGTGATGGACACTTCCAGCTTTAACTCCATTATGGTTAAGATTCTATTTTAATAAATCACACAGTGGTGTACAGTAATATTAAGTGATGAGGTTTCAAGCACAAACTATTTCTCACAATCATATCAAGTTACTCAAACAACTGTTTTCCTTCATTTATATACATGTGTGAAATCGATTGGATATTGGAATAAAATTCAACATGTGATGTCATATTTGTCTTTTCTGTTGCATGCAACATGTATATCATCGTATACTGATTTTTATTTAAATATCTAATTGATTCTGCAAATGTATATAAATGAAGGAAAAAAGGTGTGTGAGTAACTTGATATGATTATGAGTAATAGTTTGTGCTTGAAATATTACTGTACAACATTGTGTGATTTATCAAATAGAATCTTATCCATAATGGAGTTTTGCTCTACCACAACGCCCAAGTTTTATACTTACATCAACTTTCAGCTTTAATTGTTTAGTATACTAAATATAATAATATATTAAATCTTCAGTGGCTAGCTCATTTGACGGTGTAGTTTGTGAAGAACAGGTACAGCAGTTTTGGAGGTTTATAAGACAATTAGGTAGTGTATGCCAGATTTTTATAAAATGGCATGCATATACCTTAAGTGCATACTTCCGCATGAATCAAGACTGATAAATACGAATGTCTATATTAAGCATTATGTGTGGATGGAGATCTACGTTTGTCTGTCTGTTTTCGACATAGAACTTTGCACAAATGTGCGGCAGTTCAAGTCGCCACACTCCGTGTAGCACGCGAAGCAAGAGAAGAAAGTACAAGAAAAGCATAATAGAAACAGTGAGCAGAGGTGTGAGACAAAGGAAGAGTAATAACGAAGGACAAAACAGTTTCATTGGAGATCCTAAGTCACAAGGAGTGGATGCATCTTCGCCACAGAACGATTTTGAGCCATGTCACCAATTGTTTCCAACCATAGATTTTTATCGTCTCGAAGACCCCAGCCTGGAAGTCTAAACCTTCCTACGTGGCTTAGACCAGATATTGCGGATTTCATTGACTGGTGCCAAGTTTTTGTTTGACCGCCGCTAGCTTTTTTCCAGCCTGACCCTATATCCGCTAACATTGCTCGTCGAGGGAGGCGATGACTTGGCATACGTAACACATGTCCTAACCATCTCAGTCTTTGTAACTTCACGACTTCGTCGATTGATTTCCCCTGTTTACCTAGAACTCGACGCCTAACTTCAATGTTGCTCACCTTATTATGCCACTTACACGGGAAATAGAGCGCAGGCACCTATGATCAAAGACAGCTAGTCTTTTCATGCCTTCCGCTCTGAGTGGCCAGGTCTCACAACCATAAAGGAGGACGGAGCGGACTGATGAGCAGTACACCCGCCCTTTGGTCGATAGTCGAACATCTCGTCTACGCCAGAGTCGGCGTAAACTTACAAATGCGAAACGAGCCCCTGTATTCGTGCTGAGATTTCGTCAGAGATCAACCCCTGACTGGGCTGATGGTACTTCTCAAATAAGTGAAGTGGTCAACGTGCTCTACCACTTCACTTCTATTTTTAAACTAGGCGTCGATGTAGTCCAGTCCTGTAACATCATCTTGCATTTGACGGGAGCGAATCGCATGCCAAACATTCGTAGATTGCGGCTCAAGGTGTTTAGAGATTCTGCATTTTGTCAGCGTCTTCGCCTAGAAGGACTATATCGTCCGCATACTCTAAGTTGACGAGACCATTATTCCCTGGTAGCAAGTCAATCCTGAGTCGCTGAAGTCATTTAGGGGAGATCTACGTAGTTTGATCAAAGCGCTGAATAATCAAACAAGGGTCTTGCCTCGATTCTTTATTAAATTCTAAGCTTACTCTTATTTCCTCCTATTGAGATTTTTCGTTTTATTAAGTGTAGGGTAATAGCTGGTGAAATTGCGATTTCTTCTTCCTCCAGAACATTTTTCGTTTCTTATGTCCTTTCCGTAGAGTGCATAAATAAAAGCTGTTATTGAAAAATCTAGGAGCCTTATAGTTTTCATGTACATTGTTAATCATGTGATAGAATAAAATAAAAATCGTGAGGTTGTTTATTGTGCTTGTCTTCAAAGAGATAAAGGAGTGCCAAGTCCGCTAGTAATACCATAGAAAACTTACTGAAGACCTTATACTTATTAATCTCGCAGATCCAAACCGTAGCTCATGTTTTGACACCACCAATTTTTATGTTGTCTGATTTATTGAGCCATGTAATACTCTCAGCCTTCACATAAACTACGCAAAATCGTCTACAGTCGCAAGACTACTCATACTTTTGATTATCTTCGAAATTCTATACGTCCCCTAGTCTTTATGTACTTACTATCTCTCCTCATAGTTTTCCCATTGGGTTATTATTTTCCCCCTTTCCTTGCCGAGCTGTTACAAAGTGTAGCAACAACAGATGTTATTTCGTGCATGGTTTTATGCTTATCTAGCTACCTATTTGCATACTAGTATCCTTAGAAAGTTCTGCAACTGCAGTGTCATAATTAATATATTTATTGTCTCAAGGCAGATATGTGCTACTTAAAATGTTCTCGGAGATCAGAAACTGTTGTGTACCAGTTATTGTTTCTACATGCCATATGAAATTACTGTTGTCTGCTCCTAGCGTTGATATAATTCAGTCTGATCATACTTCTAATTATATTGGTTTAGTTACGCGCAGTGTAGAGATTCTGGGTTCTACCAACTTTATAGCTTGTTATATAAGGCAGAAAAGTTAATTTTGTTTCTTATATCGTTGGTTTGTGATTAATGGACATAACTGTGTAGATGTTCTGATGTTCTAACAGTCGGAAAATTCATGACCCCTGTGAGGTTTTTGAAATACTGAAATTTTGAAGTATAGTACGAATGTTTTAAAATGTGTCTGGTTATTTCTACATGTTTGCTCAACGTTTCTTCATAAACACTTCAGTTTTCTATAAATCAGTTCAAGAAGCATCGCAATGTGATTTTGTTTAAATTCCTTGTCTTTAATCCAGTTATGTTTCACGTGGCTTTTTAATAAGTTTAATTACAAGCCGAATTTTAATAAATTTTATTTTATTTTACTAATAACCAGACTTTTTAGAAGAAATAGAGAGTGTATTGCAACTGAAAGCTAACCTTTCAGTTGAACTCGAAGCTTTACAGCAGATTCGATCAGAGTTGGAAGATTCAGAATGTATGTCTGAGGTCCATTTTCGACTGGAACGAGCGACGGATAATAATCGGCGCCTGCATGCGGCTCTACAAGCAGCTGATGAACAAAGTAAGCTCGTTTATATGTTAATTGTTACTACTATTGTTCGCTACATATAGTGACTTGTTTATTTTCATTTGTTGTGAAGCTTGAGCATGTTATCTTTGAAGATTCCTAGACATTTTTACATTTATAGCGATTTTCATCTGTTAGAATTGTAATGTTCTTCAAAACGTTGTTCACTTCTTATACCCTCGGTCCTAAAATTTCTGAACGAGTTTTATACTGAATCTGTCGGGAAGTTGAAAACAGGTGGAATTCTAGGAAGGCTATTTCATTAATACTCGCTTGAAATAGTTTCATCCTCCTAGGTTTTGGAAATTTTATGCACGCATAGTCTAGTTGGTCTAGGAAGCGGTTTTCTTTTGGTTTTCTACCTTCCAAAGAATATTGTCAGGTTAAACTTAAATTTTTTCCTCTTTGTATTTCATTTCAGTTACAGAACTGGTTCTTAGTAAACGGTTACTAGAAGCTCAGATGAATGAGCTGCGTAATAGTCGAGATGCAGAACTGGCTGAAGCAAAAGAACGCGTTCGGGCAGCTGAGCGTGCTGTTGTTGCAGCGACACGAAGTGCCACTTCCAGGAATTCAGTTAGTAACAACGAATCATCGTGTTCAATCGAACGACAGAATAATACTACTAATTTCATCCAACATTCTTTGCCTACAACTTACAAGAAACCCTTAAAGGTAACGTAGATGAATTGTAGAAGTTATATATATATATATATATATAATTTGTATGCGAGTAATAGTACTATTGTTTTTCATTCTATGTTGCTTTTAAAACGCTTTCCGTGTACAGCTATTTATCTACAGTGATTTGGTGACGAATTAATATATGGCTGGTTAATAAGTTTGAATAGTAGACTCTTTGCAGCCCAAAAAGCATGCGTACATAAGGTGTGAACCCATATAATTTAAATCACAAGTCATCAGTCTTTTCGCAAGTGCATATCTGAGACTCACTATCATAAACTGTTCAGGAATTGCTTATTTACTCAAGTGTCAGAAGTACTAATATTACACACTAGCTCTATAAGATGATCGCTTAATAAGCAATTGCAATTGGAAAACGAAGAAAATAGTTACTAGTAAAAATCTATGGTTGGAAACAATTGGTGACATGGCTCAAAACCGTTCTCAGTGGCGCAGATGCATCCACTCCCTGTGACTTATGATCTTCAATGAAACTGTTTTGTATTTCTTTATTACTCCTTTGTCTCACACCTCTGCTCACTGTTTCTATTATGCTTTTCTTGTACTTTCTTCTCTTGCTTCGCGTGCTACACGGAATGTGGCGACTTGAACTTCCGCACATTTGTGCAAAGTTCTATGTCGAAAACAGACAGACAGACAGTAAAAAGCATATAGTGTATACTCTGCAGTTGGGAGGGTGACAAGATTCCCATTAGTTATTGACTTGTGGAGTACATCCAGCACTGTCCACATTACGTAACAGGATTGTACATAATCTGTTGTAAGATCTCATGATTGCTATTAACTGTGAGGATAGTGCCAAATAAGTCTTTCCCATTAAAGTAGGAATTGGACTCTTTATTAGAGTCTAATCCCACATTGTATAGATTCATTTGATCTCCCGTACAGTGACAGCCATCCATGCAATTATTCTGTATCACCATATGCCTGCCACATCAAATATATTTATGCAATATGAAAGTTTTGTTTTCTTAAAAGCCATGTATTCTAGTTGGTTTGTGTTTGACAGCTTACTAGGAATTGTTTACAGAGATAATGACAACTGGCGATATCGGCTGTCATTATTCTTATTTACACTGCTTATATACAGTAGTGTATATAATTGTGAAGCAGTAGTTTATCTGTAAAACTGTTTTATGTTTATGTAGTAGCTTTCAGCCATGTAAATTGCACTGTTACTTGTAATCGAAACATATTGAGAAAAGAAACCTATTGTCAGGGTTGAATAACAATTGTTAATTGTTATACGTGATCATTTCAGTGATATTGTTGCATAAAATGTGTTAGCATACTTTGAACTTTAGTACTATGTTATAAGTAATACCTGTAAGAAATATAAACTCTGTGTTGAGTACTTTGTTACTTGTATGCCAATTTTAAAAATGTACTCTGAACTTTATAACTACGTGATAGATTTTTACTACAATGTAATTAAGCTAGCTGGTGCCTGATTTTATCAGTGTTAGTTAACCAGAATGCTTTCACGTTTTTGTTATGAGGTGCTTGCATGCACTGAGTTTACACAAAACGAAAGCATGGTGAATATTGAGTTTTGCAAGAGGTTTACTTATTTCATTTCGATTGTTTAATATTAAGAAAGTGTTTTTTATTTACGAATTTGAGACTCTAGGTGTAGGTAGATTTTGGCAAATGTGAAACTGCAATCCAATCATATAAACAACCATTGGGTTGTGTATGCTCGGTATGAAGATATCATGATGTATGGTTTATAAACTAATGCAGGAACCATATTTGATTTTTGAGTGACATATGTACTTGTGCGCTTGTGAATTGTTTAAGTTGAATGGCGATTCTTCGGCCCTTATAAACACAAATCAGAAACTAAAGCAGATAAGTTGTGTAAATTATTATATAAAACTGTGGGATTTTCACTGGTTAATTGGCCAGTTTTGCAGTGGTGAACCCACTGTTGGTTGCAATGGACAAATAATATGACGGCCCACCAATCAGATACCACTTCAATCCTTCCAACTATGACTGTTATGTCATCGTTAGTTATCCGTATGTAAATTTAGGCCTAACTGTATGTGTCTGTTATTTTTGTCTTCTTATGTACATGTTAATGTGAATCAACGAAAACATTCGTTTCACATATTGATCCCGTTCGTTGTGTTTGAAGGTCAACTGTTTAGTATTTATTTTTGTTAAATAACTACAATATTTTATTCAAGAAACATAAAGTTTTGAGTCAATATAAATGTAGTAAGAACCAAACCGAGTTGCCAGTATTAACTGTGAAGCATAAGAAACCTATAGGTGAATTAAACCTTACACCTATTCTTCAGAGATAGCGATACACTTTGTTCACAGTTCCTTTGTTTGATTTAGACATTTTGGTTTTACACCGTTTCATATTATTCTAAACATCTGTTGTCTGTGTGGCTTTTTGAAAGAGTCACACAGATGATTTAACTAAACATTTGAAGCATTATAAATTATTTAAATTAATCCCATCATGTTAAGAAAATCAAAACAAGATTTTTCTGAACGTTTCGCCGTGTAAGCCACACCTTCAGCAGATTTATTCGGATTTTTTCACTGGCATATGCGAAACTAGCCTTCTGTATCCGTGCTGAGATTTCGTCAGAGATCAACCCATTGGCGTTGGGGCTAATGGTACTTCCCAAATAAGTGAAGTGGTCAACAGGCTTACTACTTCACTCTCCAAACAGTGGTGATTGAAAATTATCTCTAGTAATCACTACCGCTTTCCTTTTTTTAATATGAAGTAAAGCTTTTAAGGAAAAGTGGTTAATGAGGTGTTTTCTTCTTCGTTTCTTTATGTATTCCGTTTTGTAGTAGCCCCAGCTGTATTCAAACTTTTTTTTTGAAATCGTTCTGTTGAAAAAAATGCACATATATTAATACCTGCCTGCTTCATGTTTATTCTCTGTCATGTTTCATGTTAAATACAGGTTCATCCAAAAAGTTATACCACACTGACTGGATTTTCTTATGATGATTTCGACTCATTGGAAGAAGAAACTGATGATGATGATAATAATAATAATACTGAAAAGCCTTCCTGTGAACTAACTCCAACAGTTGATTCAAAACAAAATGATCCGAAACCTTTAGAAGAGAAAGAAAAACCAGACTGCAAAACAATCCAGCCGGTTATCACTAGCTCCAATAATAATGTAGATAATCGGCCTAATCATGAATCTGTCATGGAGTCGTCAACGGAAAACTTTATTTCATGTAAAGATATTGAAGCTATAACACCTGCCTCATCTTCGTTAGGTAAGTTGTTTATCATAATAGATCTGGTTCGCTGCCATATATATTGAATGTTATTTTCTCATATATCACTACTCACTTTTCTTCATAAGCTCATTACTTACTCTCCGGATTGTCATTTTCAACTATTTTGATGGATTGTATTTTCCGCGTGTTAAATGGTAATGATTAAAACGAACACTGGAAATTTTAACAGCTAGGCAGGTATGCAGTATAAACATACCTCAATCACTCGACAGAACTTATGCAGAAAAAGGGAGAAACTGTCAACTTGCCAGTGTAACAATGAAGGCTATGGATAGTTTATTTATTATTATTTTATTTATTATTTGTTCATACGTAGAAGATAGACAAATCAACATAAAACTTTGCAGCGATATATATATATATATATTCATAGAAGTTCCATGCTTCGTAACAATACTGAAAAGGACTGTTTAAATGTGCGAAGGTGAATGTAGTTGGTAACGCATTGAATTTTGGAAATGTTGAAGGGTTGAATGCATCTGAACCACTGCAAACGATTTCGAGTCACGTTACCAAGAGCTTTCAGTCATCGAGTCATTGTATAATTTCAATCAGATTGTAGAAAAAAGGGTTACGCCTTTTATATGGGTTATGTGATAATGAAGCTAAAGGTGAAATGACAATTTCCTTTATTTATCTTCTTTTGTGGCTTTCACTCAGCAAATTGGTGGTTAAAGATAGTCAGCAGTTATGTCAGTCTTTTAAACTGTAATGCTTTTAATTGTGTGATGCGCCATATATGCCATTATGGGCGTAATCAGTTCATGGAGCCTTTAGAAACTTGTCTTTTATTCATAGAGCTTGAGCCTCTTTAAGTTTGTTCACTATCAAACCGTTTAGCTGAGAAAACAGCGCAAAGGAAATCATCCACCTAAGTTACTGACACTTTTCGTAATTTAAAAATTAAAGAAACACGTAGGTTTTTTAAACGCTCATTAATTCAAACCATATGGTTAGTCATCTTTCAGTCAAACTCATTACTGAGTTAGCAGAGTACCATCAGTCAATGAGATAATGAAATCTTCACTGTCTAATATGACTGCAAAACGTGTTATTTTATACTGAGCTACTACTTTTCTCTAAAAGGAATATTAACGGAAATTAGATTATGCCGAAAAAAAAGTTGTTAGTAATTAAATTGACAAAATTGTTACCGGTTCGTGAAGTCGTTGCCTGACTCTTAGCATCCGGCGTACCTTAATCTACACAGCCTGTCTGTCTGTCTGTTTTCGACTTAGAACTTTGCACCATCAATGTGCACCAGTTCAAGTTGCCACACTCCCTCCATGTAGCACACAAAGCAAGAGAAGAAAGTAGAAGAAATGCATAATAGAGACACACACAATCTACACTTACTTAAGTTTAAAATAACTCAAAATCATTCACGGTGAAGGTGTATTCATTATTATTCCTTTAAAGGGTTTCAAACGCTACTTTCTATGCTAAATTAACTTTATCCTAATATTTATAAAGGAAGATCTTAAAAGAATTTTTTTATGGCAATTTTCTTTCAGTATTGTTAAGGGCATCATGAAGTTCGCTACCAATAAGCTTATCTACTGACATTCTTCTTCTTCATTTTATTATGTTTGTGTTTAATTTTTCCATTCCCTTACAAAATGATGCAACTTGATAACAAATATTTTTAATAATTTAATAATATTTTACTTTATTCCAAAAACAGTACTTATAATACGGAATGAAATTCTCAGCATTTGTCACAATATTGCATCTGATTTACTTAAAATATAAATAAAATTAAAAATTAAAACAAAAGTAACCAGAGAAATTTGTCCACGTTTACGATATAAAGTCAAAAATATTCTAAGCACGAATTGAGATCATTAAATATTAATAATAATAATAATAATAATAATAATAACAGTGAGTTTGTTTCAAACAGTATTGTCGATTCAGTTTGAAAATTTTAGCGTGTTACTATAGAGTATTGAATCTAATGTTCTGTTGATGTAGTATAGTGAGGGGAAATTTAAGATTAACAGTGGTAACACAGCTTTAACGATGTTCACAATTATGAAAAGTAAATAAATAAAAACGAAAAACTGATAGGATTATAAATATAAAAAATACAATAACAATCAAGTTTGGTACTGTAAGGGTGGAAGAAATGGTTTATTTAGTAGTGCAAAGAAGGTTAGTTAGTTCATGCTTAATATTATTTTCATCACATAAAGTACGTGCTAAATATGGTATAGTGAAATTTTTATACTTAGACGTACATGCATAAAGTCTTCTGAAAAGACTCCTTGTTTTACCTGAGGAGACACAAGGTTGGAGCTGCGGGTAGAGTGGGTGCTCAGAGTCTGACAAAATTCCTTTAACAAATTTGTTGCATAACATCAAGTGCCTATCAGTGACAGTGTCAATGATATGGCCCAATGGGGTACCACTCGTCCTACTGACAGTCTTCAGAGTTCTACGAAGTATGACATAGTCTTTTTTAAGCAATCCAGGAAAGAATAAGCAAGGGTGAACAGTAAAAAAGAACAGGTAAAATGCACGAGTTGACAAACTGTAAGAGGAGTGGTTGGGTTATGCCTGAGTGCCTTAACTTCTTAATGTAAAATGTCAGACGAAATATTCTTTTAGAAATCGCTAAGACATGAGAAGACCAGGATAGGTCAGAAGAAAGAATTAATCCAAGATACTTAACTTCAGACTTGATTTCTATATCAGTGTCATCAATTTTGCAAGGGTCATTGGAACCAACAGCTTCATTTAACTTTCTTTTACATCAGAAACTGAAATTAACAGTCTGGCAATTTGGAAGGATTTAGTTTAAGGCCGTTACACGAAGACCATTTGCTAATTTCTGATAGAAAGCTGTTCATCTTAGCACAGTCAAGCTGGGAGTTAACAGACATTGAAATAGTTAGATCATTGGCATACTTAACAAAGTTCATTTCATCATTTTAAGGTCTTAAAGAACAACAACAAGTTCATCAGGGTCTCTATTTGATGATATTAGATGGTTAGAGGTAATCGGCTACAGGAGGCCTTGCTTGACCTAGTTTTCGTGCTAGTAGTTGGCACTCCCCAGTCAGCAAGACGTATCTGCAACCTTGAAGGAATTCAAGGCTTCCTGTGGCCGATTACCTCCAACCATTTAATATCATCAAATCAATGTGCACCGTGATGGCGAGCTGCTGCCTAGAATAGTGGCCACATTACAAACCTGACTGATAGAATTCAGTCTGCACCAAAGAAAGGACTATAGACACATAACACTAGTTACTAGTGTCAAATCAAAATATAAAGTCTCTATTTGCATTGTATATGAAGAAACAAAGTAATCAGGTCTTCTGTTTACCTAATTGTTTGCTTACACATACATAGTGTAGACGCTCCTACTGTGATAAATAAATAAATAAATGAATAAACGCCTACTCTTGCTGGTTTGTCCTTATATGCTCAGGGTTTGAATTTTGATTTTTTTCATTTATAAAAAAAATTCTCTAGACATTTGAGACTGTCTAGTATTTTGGCCATCAAGATTGACCTACTCTATCATACAACCTCCTATAGAGAGATGTCTTCTTTGTTTTTTAAGTGATTGTTACATTTGTAGGCAAATGTATTGATTAATGCTAACTGAGTGCAACAGCTCATAGAATTAAAGCCTTCACTTGTAAGAAATTATCGTCATTTCGTTGGGAAGCACAGCCTCCGTCGAAAGTTGACGTTTCTGTTAAAAGTCCTTTGGATGTGATGTGATTTGATAGAATTACTAGGAAACAATATATTACCACTAATGACATAAGTGGCATATTAATATTATTGTTCGTATATTTCCAGTCGGTTAAAAATCATTTGCCTACAGGCAGCTGTATTAAAGCCGCTGACGACTACTTAGTTAGTCTAGTCTAGTCACTTAGACAATTTAGATCTGACCAGCTGACCTTGAATGAATTAGACGACATTTTTTTTTTAATTGTTTCCGACCTATTTTACACACCTATAACATCTTTTCAGACGAAAAAACTAAAAATAAATTATTTTCAAAAATTCGATTTTTTCTATCACAATTAACTTGGTCAGTGATAAAAAGTCTGCGATATTTTCATCATTTACGTATTTGTCACTTCATAAGGACAGATTGAAAATTCGAATAAAGCCAGGCGGAACATATTCAGAAGATGAAAAAAGAGTCCGTGCATTTTTATTTCACGGCTTTACCATCCCCACCCCCCTCTTTCCAACTACTAATAGCCTAAAAAAGGACAAAAATTATTTCAGCCTGATAGGTGGGCATAGGTTATGGAAAGGAGGTATGAACGAAAGGTAGTTAATAATCTAACGGCTGGAATTTGTTTATAAATAAAGTAATGAAATGCTAGAGAGGAGAAGGTGAGAGTGAAAAAGGAAGTGGTAGGCAAAAGTAAAATTATTACGTAAACAAACAATTAAGCCAGTTAGAGGATTAATAATGTGAGTTCAGTTCAGTGATCTTTCAATTCAGTTAATTGTTTGTCTATGTAATAATCAACCGAATTTTATTCACCATTTCTGTTAGATGATAAAAACATCCTGTATTGATATTCATTGTTCCACAGCTTTATGTCCTTTGGCTTTAAATAGTTTGGGATGCGTGTTATATATATATATATATATATATATATATTTGCCTCTATAATAACTTATTTTTTTCGAGTTTGACTACGGAATGATATCAGTTAGAGAACCATTGAAAACCTGGGAGTACTGGACGGCTGTTTCGTGCTAGTTTGGGAATCGTTGGCAGGTTTCGAACCCAGGACTTTCCCGTTACACAAGGCGAGCTCGTATACCACTCAGCTACTGGGACCCAATTCAGTGACCGATGAATTCCTGGGTTCGAAACCCGGTGGATGCATACTGCCGGTGACTCCCAAACTAAGATGATACAGATGTCCTGTACTCCCTGGTTTTCAGTGGCTCTCTAACTGATATCAATCAGTTGGCAAACTCTTGAAAAT